GTCTCTTTTATTTATTTTTGTTTGTCAGTTTAGTTGTTGCATGTGTGATACAAATGTTTGGTTGACATGTACACTCTAAAAATGAAATGTTGGATTTACTTAACCATGTTATGTGACCCCGTTCCACTTAATTGAGTTGAGTAAATTCAAAGCAACATACTCATGTTCTTTGGTTAAAAAACTAGTATATTGCTTTGAATTTACTCAACTCAGTTAAGTGGAACGGGGTCACATAACATGCTTAAGTAAATCCAACATTTCATTTTTTACAGTGTATTTGTTTAAAAATGTGGGCATATTGCCAATGAGAACTTTGTATTTCAGTGTGGAGCATTGTATTTCCAGTCATTCTTGCTGTTCTGAGCAAAGCTTGCAGCTACAATGCGCTATTTCAGTTTTTATTTTGAAAACTCCCAAACTATATCTGTTATAAAAGCAGCACTTCCTATCTGKTTTAAAATGTACATAAACTAGTGCATAACTGAAATTCAGTCTTTTATAATTTGTTGATTAGAACCCCTTTCCAGAACATTTTTCACTTTACTCAAGTCACTTGAATCTTGCATAACAAGTCAGCATGACAGTCTTGTAATTGCTGTTATTTATCTGCCATGTGCATAAAACTCAGTTAGGGAATACATTTAAAAATCATGTTTATCATGCTTGTTCATTGACATTTCCGAACATTTTCTCTGATTTACTCCGGCCAAAAAAAATAAAAAAATCTTTTAATTCTGAAGGAAATCAAACTCCTCAATCTCACTGAGATTTTAGCTCTTTTTGGCTGTATTTCCTTATGACACATCAGCATATTGTTTATGCAAGTATTAGTCTGGCCAGAAATAATAATAAAAAATAAAATTGGTGTTTCATATAAATCTGTGCATCTCGTTTTGTGGGTGGACCGTTTTTGACGTCACATCCCGTATATGGAATGGATGTTGTCTTCCATCCACTAGCAGGAAAATTCACACAAATTTATTTTTAAAACAATTTTGTTACTTTTTGACATTTGCCACAGAACATAGATATTTATTTTTATATCATAATTTGCTGTATATACAATATGAAAAAATGGTGGGTGTAAGACTTTAAATTGAACCTTAGACATCTTCTTGCCATCTCATTGTGATTTATAAAAGGGTCAAGACAGCATCAAAAAGGTTGAAGTCATCTTGTCGCCGTTATCCCTCTAAGCAACCAATGAAGGTGGTGACAGAGCTGTAACAGTTGATCTATGTAAGTGTAATCTGGCATCGCAGCTTGGTGTTTTATGTTGTASTGACAGGAGTCTGTGTGATCAGCTGAGTATGAAATTTAGAATGGAGATTGTTCAACGCCTGTTTTAAGCATACATCAATGTTGCTGAGTTACACTCTGTCTTAGTTTTACCGGGCCAGCATCAATGAAAATATTCATGGCAAGTGGGATGTGGGCGGCTCCAACAGTACTACTTGAGCAGCCAATGGCAGATTAATAGAGACTAAATCACATTCTGTTTTCTGAAAAGAGTTGTTGTTCCTCTTCCCTTCTAGAAACCTATTACTCCACCAACTTGTGATTGTTTGACATGAATTTCCCAGGTTATGAAAGACAGTTCTTAATTTAAATTATCAATGCATATTTCACATTTGTGTGGAAACGTGTATGGACAAAGTTACTAGATAGTTTGATCTGTCATGTATATTGATACAATTACATTCTGTGCATCTGGATGCAGCAGCATCTGTTTGTCTCATTATAAAGACTATTTG